AATAGTTACTTACACAATAGTTACTTACACAATAGTTACTTACACAATAGTTACTTACACAATAGTTACTTACACAATAGTATAAAATTGTATGGAGGATAGAAGACGGACGAAAGACAAAGGACGGAGTTAATGTTTCATTTTTTAGTCGGACTAGCCGAAGGCTAGAGGTCGACTTTAGTTTTACCTTTTAGCCAATCTATCTGTGTGTCATGTCGCGTTTGGACCACCGGAAGTTAAGAAYTTWATRATTAACTATTGGGTTGGCTGTGTTATTACATGACCGGATYGTTAAAATGTTATATGCTACTTGCGSTTTTATGTGATAAAAAAACTATTCATTTACAAATGTGGTATCTTTGATCTCACCGGAATGCATCATTCTAGGYATCAGAAGTACGCGCATGTGCAGATCGCATGGAGTTTCGAGTAGTTTGCTTACGAAACTTAATCAATGACCTTTCTAGCGTTAGACAGTCTCGTGTGGGCAAAGATTTCAAATTAGAACAAGAAGAAACTTTGTTTATCAATAACAAAAAGGCGACTTTAATGATAGGCATCTTTTGCTTTGTAAAGTATTTATTTTCTTGGCCTGAGAGGTCAACGTATTAGATATCATGATATMACTTAGCGACATTTTGTCTACCACGTTTGATTTYATYAGTCAAAGAAAGGACTCTTTTAAAACGTTCACATAATCTTATCGTGTYTAAAACCTTTYAACGCACGCGCATCCATGTAATATCCTGTCTTTCTCAATTTTCAAAAATAGCTAGTCCGACTTCACGCTCCAAGAGCGTCTAGTTTAACTGTAATAGTGCAAGTTACATCTTTCAGTGCAACCATGAGTTAAGTCTTAAGTTATTARAGAGAGAAAGATTCTTGGTGTGCAACGTGACTAAGAATCCCCTGAGAAATAAAGAACAAAGCTGTTGCCGCCATGTTGGATGAACGAACAAGAGAAACTAACGAGGAATGCTTTGTTTAACTTGCACGCCAAGAATAAGTTATTTCCAGGACGGGTAATTATTTCCTATGGTACGTCACAGCAAATCTGARTAAAAAGGTCATTTGCGGTGGAGATCAAATGAGCAACAAGCACATGCCATATCTACCAACCAATCCCGTGATGGGGAGCTATAATGTACTTTGCTGTAATCCTTGAGTCTAAGATGGAGTGGAAAAGCATTTATCTAACAAAATCAGTGATTTTCCTTGGATTTGTTTTGCAGGCTTTGATAGTACCGGGGCAATGTAAGTTTTCAATGAACTATTGTATTGTCCACAATATTATTAACTGTCCGGCGGAAAGTTGATTTTGAAATTGTTAGGAAACAACCTTTTAAAGCTGATTTCTGAAAACTGAATTTCCCTAATATGGAATAGGTGTTACATTGAGGATGCATCAATTGTTAAGATGTATTGTTTCACGGAACGTCTATTTAAACACCATTGCGTTATATGGATTTATTTTTTGCATGTCCGTACATGATTCTGTTACTGGTACTTGACATGTCTTTAGTGATTTTTCGTTATTCAATCAGTAGATTGTAGAAATGCTCTTAAATTCATTTAGTTTTTCGGAAGTTTGCCCTTTTTGTAGGTCTAACTTACATGTAACTTAGGTTTTCATCGTTCCTGATGTCCAGCATTATCAATGCATTAATTGATTGTAACCGGCGCATGAGTCACGTCACGTAAAACAAAGAGTCATAGTTTTCAGACGACACTAGATACTTGCTGTTGCTGGTCTATCGTCTTATTGCTGCCATRGAGGTATTGGAATTTACACAAAAATATAATAATCGACCATTACCAAAATTCCWGTGTAAACCGACGGCCTTAGCCTCGTACCTATGAGTAACTTGATTGGCTATTCTAAAGCTTTCTATCCCGGCTAGCAACGAGGCTATTCCCGCTTACGCATTTACGTTTGCGGGTTTTGTGCGAGCCCATCTAAGGTCGTTATGCAGGTCCAAAATAAATTGTTAGCGTGACTAGCATCTTATCTAAATAACTTAACAGACCAATATAGTGCCATTAAAAAAAAATCACTTCTGTGTTATCGCAGATAAATGTTTACCTGAAGTTGCTCTGTTTGACACGTCAATCAAAACAATGTATTATGTTTCCTYGCGTTACACAAGATGTCGCATGATTTTTTAACTACTTGTTCAGTACATAACGTTATCTTATTATACCAATGTGAAAAACTTTGAAGTAGAGGTAATCTGCAATCTTGCACGCTGTACTAGTCCAGGTCAACAAGTATCCTTCGCATGCTACTCTAGCGGAAAATGATTTTTTTTCTTTGGTCTTTGGCTTTGTTGATAAACTTAGCCGATAAGAATAGCCTTCCCGCCCGCACCTTTTTAGACTTCAACGGGGCAGACTTGCCTTCAAATCAATTTGTTCAATCCTTCAGAAATGCACTGATGTTGTTGAAATTCACAAGTAATAACCGAAGCAGTTATAGGTTTATCCCGGGACTCGACTGCTCAGATCCTATCGACTGTACTTATTTCTGTAACGAGGAAGCCAGGAGTTGGAATGCCAAGAATCCCAAGAATATTTTAAAATAGTTTATTTATCTATTTTTTCATTTATTTTTATTTTTATATACTTTTATTTTCATTTATTTATTTATTCATTTTTGTTTTAAAAGTTCGAGGTTGCGCTGCAACGGCTTGCGATGTAATTACAACACTACAAAAAGAGAATATTGTTCTGTTTCAGTCACTGTTTTCAATGATATATTACTAAGGTATGGATACTCGACTACGACCGGAATCTCCTCCAGAACGAAGTGGTAGATTCTAGTTGAAAGTTAGTACTCTGCATCCCGACTGACCATTGGGGGCAGGATGGGCGTGTCGCGATCCATGTCTCTGGTCTGTAATGGAGGATGGACTGCGTTGTTTTAATTCATATGAGCTCCACAGCCAATCAGAATCACCACAGTTTGCCGCCGAATGACATTATCCCGTGTAAAGATATTCCTTCAACAGTACATAAATATTCAATGATTTAATTCTCATAGCATTCTTTTGCTCGAACAATCGTATCTTCAACGAACAATAACCTACTGGTCATTTATAACATACTTTTTCCAGTTCGCAATCCGGCTTATGCAGGGAAAAAAATTGTGCAATAAGTGTGTATTCTATAGGCTTAATAATAACCCTCAAATGAGTTGCCTGATGTTTTTGGCCAATTCGTCAATGTCTTCAAGACATTTTAAATCCCATCTATTCGAACGTGGTATCTCAGTGAGATTCTCAATCAGCGAGATTCGTTTACATTAGTTTTAACGTAAATAGTTCATTTTTTTAACATACTGCTACAGAGACATTGTTCGGCTTGTCTGCATGTATCAATCTTTTATTATGCATTATAAAATATTTGATATATAACGCGCGCTCTGATTGGCTGACGACCGTGTTTATATCAGAGGACAGAGACACGGCTTACCGGCAAAATTTGCTTTTCGCTGGAAAAATTTTATAAAAGAAATATAAAACGGCCGCTTGTGTCTCTGTCCTCTGATATAAACACGGTGGGAGTTGAAAAACACTCGAGAAGCAAGAGAAACACTCGCTACGCTCGTGTTCCTAAGCTTGCTTCTCTCGTGTTTTTCAAACTCCCACCGTGTTTATATCAGAGAACAGAGACACGCGCGCCGTTTTATATTTCTTAATTTGTCATAGAAACATATCATTTTATTATTCAATTGGGGCAGGTCAACATATTATATATATATTTTAAAGCATACACAAGGCAAAGAAATTATGACAGCTGTCAGATTTCAAAAGAACTATTCATATACAATTTGGCAGCGAGTAAAACATGAGAGTGTAACTATATATGTATGTATTTGTTTATTTTCTTTTGTATTCTATAAATATAATCGCATTTTATTTCAATAATGATTGTTAGACTGAAGTCATTTTGTTAATTTTTCGGATTGGCTTTCAGGTTGCAAAAATATAGACTTAGTTCTTGGAATACCCAATTCACTACCCCCTCAGCAATTGCTTGAACTGAAGAAAGCAGTCAAGACATTTACTTCCATGTTCCACGTGACAAATAGGTTTAGTCACATTGGAATAGTGACGTATAACGATGATGCMAATCTSTACCAGCCACTCGATCAAGACTACTCTCTGGAAAATGTTYATTTAACTATTGATAGTATTCCAGCATCTCCCAGCTATGGTTTTAATGTTGCTGCTGCATTAAGGGTTGCYGCTGATCACGCATTTACAATATATGGAGGCGTGAGACCATCTTACTCTAAAGTTATGGTTGTTTTTCTACCAAGGTAMATAWGATACAGTTGTTACAAAAACGCAATCGAAACACAGTTGCTCAGTTAACAATACCGWAATARGCYTTTTCTGAAATACAAAATCATGTTCAGCATTGYGGTCTAGGCTCTTCACAAACAGCACGTTACTTGGCCGAATGAACAAAAAAAYGTTTGTACCGAATCTATACCACAATGCAATGCGTAATGCTATTTCAGGCATAGGCTRACCTCYATTTACTTTTCTATYATAGTACATCGACAAGCAGTACGATGGAGAACCAAGCAGCTGCAAATAAACTAAAGAGCATTGGAGTGCGTTTAATGGTTTTAGGYACAGAAGRCAATTCMTCTCCGTTCACCTATTCTACAATTGTCTCTGAGCCTCTTTCTGAATTTCTGGTACTCAAGAGAAATTGGGAGTCCATATTATCATCATCATYTGAAATTTCTCGGAGTCTCTGCAATAAAACTGCCATAAAGCGTAAGTCGATCCACCCGTAATTAGAAAAATACGCAGTCAAGGACTGCATGTGGCTAGTGCAATGAAATTATAATTAAAATTGTGCATTATAGCAAAAGAAAAAGAAAGAAAAAAGAAAGAAACAATATGAATATGCAGTCTAATATTACATGTGGGTAAAGCAATTGGTGTGTACTGAATATAAATATAGTATAAGAGAACAAATAAGTTCGCTTTAACGTTCTTGGCTGACATCGCCTGGCCGTAAGATTCTCCAACATTGAGCAATTCAGTGTAGAAAATAGCTGGTTAAGGAATAAGTAGTAAAAAATGAATGTTGTACACAATAATTGGAATGTATACGGCAATATATTTATTTATCAGAGCTTGAGATAACTCAGGTTTGTACTTGTTAAATCGTAAACTCGAAGTGCTCGACCGGAGCAGTAGCTGCATGTTGTAATGCAATCTCGTGTTCGAATTGAATTGTATTTTTACTTAATATTTTTGTTGTTTAAATTTAGATTGCAGTGCATTCGAGTTCGATAAGTAGTATTATTTGAATTGTTTCTGATCAGTATGCAATGTCAAGAACCACCCACCCACCCACTTTCAAGGCGATACCATAGTGGCTTGAGCCTCGTTCCGAGGCACTAGGGCCACAATAAAAACCATTCCTTTCATGCATGTATATGATCGAATTGTGCACATCATTTAATGCCAAAGAATCAAGCTATGTTTATCATCCTCATTTTGATAACGATTCTAAGAATGTTTTTTCTTATTTTAATTACTAAAAGTAAAAAAAACTTTTAAGCCCAAACGGTTTAAATAACTGAGTACACTCCTTCCCAGTAACATGATTTTATTTGAAAACACTTGTGCATGCTAACCTTTGTTTTTAAAAGTCTTTGTTTTATTATGTTGTAGGCTGCTTCATTCCTTTTGAAATGGTCATAGCTATYGACAATTCGAACAGTCTCACACCAGACGAATTTGATCTAATTAAGGTGCTTTCCAAAAAACTCATGACTTCTTACGCCAACTCCGAAAACAATGCTCATTTTGGACTAATGACCTATGAAAGCACACCACGAAAAGTAACAAATGGATTTCGACGTTTTCGAAGTCAAAACGAACTGTATACATTGATAGATGAGCTTCCACAATCTAATGATCCCCGCAGAAGGGTTGATCTTGTACTGAAGGCTGCTCAAAAGGATTTCTTCAGTATGGAGGGYGGCACACGACGTGGGCATCCAAGGTATTTGTTAATTGTTACATCTGGCGGATCTTCAAAAGTCTCGGAAAGTTTAAGGGTAAGGATGAGATTGATTGCCTTTTCCTCGGAAAGCATTCATAAAGGCACTGAGCGATTTTGTTATGATCATTTTTTGCTATAATGGTCTGAATGGTTCTTAACCGATTATCTGTCGACTTACGAACTGCTAAATAGCATCGAATTTCTGAATTTCGCGTAGGTCTTCACAAAGGAATTGGATGCTCTTGGTGTTCAACGAATAGCTGTTGGGCTTTATAGTGACGAAAGAACAGTGAAATTCCTTCAAAGCCTTGCATCAGAAAATAAGCTGGTATTTACAGCAAACGGGAAAGCAATTGTTCCACTTGATGATATAAGACGACATATGGAGCCACATATTTGTAAAGGTAAGGATACGTTATAGTTGGGATAACCTGGACACTTTTTGTACTGCATCGACGAGCTTGATTYTCTGGGATGAAATAAAACGCAGCCTATTCACKGCTTTAATGTAAACTACACTACTCTCAAGCACAGGTCCACTCTTCCATACATTTAAGATGATGTTTCTGTTCTCTGATATAACAATGTAGAAGATGAGGAGCACTGTTACTGACGACACAATGATATGTGACGCTTACACAATCAATGTTAATATCACACTCGTCAGCTCATAATTGAATCTGGATAACAAGGAGAAAGCAGTATGAATGAGAGGGGAGAGATTAAAAAGGAGATATCCTATCCTAATAGCTTGATGATGAGGGGAAGGAGTGGTCTTGWTTAACATTCCAGAAATGCATTTGCRCATTYCCTGCTGAAGGCATGGATAAAAARRTCAAACCTAATGTCGGTACCGTCTAATTTYTCTTTTAGAAAAACCAGGGCTTTGTCCTCTTCCWGAAGTGAAGGATGCAGATGCCTGCATTTTGCCAATCCCAGAAGGACTTATACCATGTGGTCCTTCAGCTGACAAGTCCAATMMGCAACAAAACGATTGGGACTGCCCTGGAGAACTCAAGTGTTGTTTTCTAGACGTCGCGTCATGTCATAAGGTGTGCAGGTATCCTATCTCAGGTAATGATGATAATTCTTAAAGACATATGCTGTTTATTTATCTTTCTTTTTCCATATTTTTCTCATGGTTCTGCGTCTAACGTTCTGGGTAATTTTCTTCTTCTTGAGTACTCTCTTGGGTACTTGGTACTATCCGACCGAATTGTTTTTGGACAAGTAAAGTCCCAAACATTATCGTCAATTAGGCTTCCACAAGAAAGATCATCAAACCAATTTGCTCATAGAATAGTCAGCAAAGAAAAGGTGGTCGAAGAATTTCGACTTCAATTAGGATAGATTTTTAATCACAGAATAAGTGTTCAAAAGATATTCCTGAAGTGAATTGATTGTATTTTTCATAAAGTAGCCGTACAATGTATTGTTCTGATCATTTTAGATAGAGTGGGGACAAAAGACCTTCTTGTACTTATGGAAAATACTGACGCCATTGGTGGCAGAAGAGCGTTTGATTTGTCCAAGTCATTCGTTCAAGAGTTTATTGGTGCTTTTGATGTGTCAACTGAGGGGACYCATTTATCGCTTGCAACCTACGCGAGAACAGTAAAAACAAAATTCAAATTCTCTGACAAAGCCTCTTCTGAAAATAAAGATCAGGCCCTTAGAGAAATAAAAGATCTCGAATTTCAGGGAGGTCCTCCGGGAAACACAACAGAAGCTCTACGAGTTGCACATGATTTGCTGCATCCCAGAAACTCAGCACGTTATAAGATGAATAAGGTATGATCCCAAAAATCTTGATACAAATTGCCTTTCTTTTCTTTGCTTATGTCTAGATTATTATACCCTTAAACTGATTATTTATTACATTTTTCTTCCCCCCCCTCTTAGATCTGTCCCTGCAAACTAGGTCCCCCCTCTTGGATCTGTCCCTGCAAACTAGGTCCCCCCCTCTTGG